CTTCTCTCTCTCTCTCTCTCTCTCTCTCTCTCTCTCTCTCTCTCTCTCTCTCTCTCTTCCCTCTTTTTTTAGCACAAACGCGCTATCTTATATTGAATACGCGAGAACGTTATACATATATATATATATACGTGCATATGAATGCTTTGAAAAATAATAAAAATGTTGAAATAATATCGTCTCCTCATACGATTGTAGCGTGAACAAATTTTTAATAAAAAGAAAAAAAAAAAAAAAAAAAGAATCGCATCACCCTATTCGATATGGGTGTTCGTTCCTTTTGCGAGCTGCAAATTCTTTTGGGCTTGCATTTAGCGATCTTTCAAATAGTGAATGAAGCAATATTACTTGTGGGTGTACAGGATATTCGAGTTACTGTTTTTTTAATTTCTTTTATTATATTACATTATTATAGAAAGAATTATTAATCGATGATTGAATTAATTAATCATATAAATGACAGTATTTGATTCCGTTCGTTTAATGTTATATATGTCTTTCGGAAATATGTTTTGCTTCGTATTATAAAGGGGAATGGAATACGCGATGTAAATAGAAATCGTTCGCCGTTTATATCGACTAACGTGACTCGGCGGCGACATTGTGCTCGAGACCACGGAGAGGTACGCACTGTCGTACGAGAATTTAACACAATTCAAATAATCTTAATTTTTTTTAAAAGTTGAAATAATAAAACAAATTATTAATAAGATATAAAAAATTCAAAACAACGATGGGTGTAAAGAAAAATTTTAATAATAATCGGGAAGTTATTTATTTTCAATTATTTCCAATTTTTTGCTATACTTTTTTATATATATCACGAACATCCTGTATAACATCCCATATCGTGGACGTATAAAACATAAAGAATCTTACATTTTAGTATGCCACGAAATATATGAAAGATAAAGAAACAATGGCGGTGTATATATACATATTTCAAGAGTAAAATAATAATAATAATAATAAAAAGAGAAAGAGAAACAGAAAATCGGATTATATTCTGCATATATATACATATATTATAATATAAATACATTTATATTTTCTACGTAGGTTATCGAATACGTATCGGCACGTAAAAACCGTAATATTAATCGACACCGTTAAGATATTATATGCGTAAAACTCACGTCTAATTTCTAAGCGATTTTGCGTGTGTGCGTGAGTGTTGTAACGTGATGTAATTCAAGAACATTTTCCTACTTCTTATTTTTCATCCTTCGTTCGAGTGTAAAAGAATACAATTCAATATGAAGAAAAATAACCAAATATATTTCTATATAAGGTTTAATAATTTTCAATAATTATATTAATGAATTAAACAAATAAGATCACGTTTCAAATCATTTGAAATATCGGTACTAATGTAATAATTAACATTTTAAATCCCTAAACATCTGCAGAGTCTTCGCACGTGCAAATGAATGATTAATTTTATTTATTTATAACATATCTATCCTTTCTAAATCTAGAAACGATAAGTATTTTAAAAATTCGATGCGTTTTAATATTTCGTGCAAACATTAAATTTTAAGTTGTAAAAAATGATTTAAAAGAAGCTTGATTTAATAAGCAAACGATCGATAACCGGTTTTTTTTTAGAAAAGAAAAGGAGTTTTAATAATTAAAAAAATATTCATTTATATCTTTCAAGAAGAAAGAATATTATCTCGAAATTTCTCAAATTTCTAATTCTTTAAAATAATTAATGGAATTGAAATAACTCAAAATTTTATCAAATTTTTCAACACGAATGGTTTAAACCAACGGGCATCCTTTATCTTATTTTGAAATCCTATATTGTTCGTTTTCACGAGACACACGAAATCTGATCTCTCGAATTTCACGAAAGTGTTTGCAAAGCGTCTCGTTTTAATCTCGACTACTCACCACACACACACACACACACACATACACTTTCTCTCTTTCTCTCTCTCATATCTCGAAGGTTTAATCGATCTCTGCGCGGCAAGGACCAGTCTTGTTAACTAGGATTACGTTTATCGTCGAGCGAAATATTGCACTGAAAATATCTATCGTCTTAACTTATATTGTTAGAATAATACAAATTTGTATATAATATAATATATATATATATATACATATAATAGATATATAGCGAGGGTAGGAAACAATTTCTCAAGCGAAGCTGGTTTTAGGAGTATTTTGAAATTGAGTGGGCGGAAGGAAGATCGTGTAAGCGCTTTAATTCCGCGTCTTTTGAAATTCTTCGCGTCCTTTTATATAATACATCGTAAATCCTTGATTCAGTTGTTTTAACAGATCGAAATTTTAAAAAAGAAACAAATTTTATATTTTTTATTCGTTCATTTTTTTTTTTATTAATTTAAAATTATATCGAGTTATGAAATTTTCTATAAATTATTTTCAAAAATTGTTTGAAATAAAGTATCTTTTAATTATTATTATTTTTTTTTTTATATATTAACGTTACATTTTGGAAGAATTTATTATACGATAAGAGATTAAGGATTCAAAAAAAATAAAAGACACATTTCGTTCCTTGACGATATTCGAAGAGTTTTCTTACGATTAATCACAATTATTAGTTCGATTGTAAGAAATAGATTCTTTTTTATAATTAATTGTTAACAAGACATTCTAATCAATCCATCGATGTACCATTAATAATTTTTATTTCCACGATATATCATATCATTCAACTTCCTTACAATTTGATGAAATTTTTCGTTTCGTGAAAAAGATCGAAAATGAAAGGGGGAAAAAAAAAAGGAAGAAGAAAAATACTCTGTAAAACGTGCTCGAGCATGATCGTACGATATAAAAATTCTATGGTGCCTCTCACTTAACTAATTCCACTATAACGCAATTGATAACGGAGGAATAGAATATTAGCCTTAAGATAGAGTTGTAAATAAAGTAGACGATTATCGTAGGATTATTAATAAATTAACAATATAATAGTGGCAATACATAGGTAATACGCTCCAAAGTTGAAGCACGAATTTTTCTATTTCGTAAAACAAAAAAACCCGCTCGACGTTTATTTTCTTTCATTCGTGTAAGTAAAACGTTTCTCATTCAGTAACAATGAAAGATTTATAGATGGATGAAAAGATATAGAATAAAAATTCGATAAACTATAATTTAAAAAATATAGGATGAAAAATATAATTCTTTTTATTGAAGTGAAATTTATGATTTTATACGACAGTGAAAATCAAAAATATTGTGAAAAGTGGATTATAAATTGCATTTCTATAAATATTATCTGTGTTGAAAGAACATAATCGAAATTAATAAGATGTGCGTGCAATTTTTCTTCCATTTCGATATTTTTTCGTTTAATTAAGAATATGTGTAAAATATTGTTCAAGATCGCGTAAACAAAATTAAAAAAAAATTATAAATATTCTAATAATCAGGGATTGAATTTTAAGTTTCGAAAAATTGAACGAGAAACGTTTTCTAAGAACTCTTTACTTATCCTGAAATCGAGTCAGTTCAAGTTAGACGAAACGAGGGAAACGTTAAAAGAGTTATTGAAAATGGAGCATCACTCGATGATTGATATTGCCGACCATGAGTAGAGACAATCAAACAATGTTGAATACGCGCATGAACAATAAATATAAACGTTAAAGATTTCGTTTTAACAATAGAATATATACATATATATCTTCGAGATTTATCGATTCGAATCTTCGAACACTTTTTAATTATGCAAAAATAATACTCTGGGAACATTTATCGTAAATTAATTAAGTAATAATCTCGGGACAACGGTGTGAAAGAATCGTGTTGAGTAACTTTGAAAATCTTAAAACTCGAGAACACTTGGTTTGTTAAATCGTTTTTTGAAATTCGAATCTCTCTGGATGTTCTCTGAATCATCGTTACCAGTTCTGGATAAAATTTTATTCAGATAGAATAATAGATGATTATCTATTAATAGAAAATTATACTATTAATTAAA